TTTCCCGAAGCCGGGGGGGTTTTTGCTGAGGGGAACCGGGTGTTTGCAAAAAAGCCCCCAAGAAAGGCGGGGAGGAGATCCGGCGAGAGCCTTTTCCCTTCCCTCAGGGGGCCCCGGGCTTCGGGTTTTGGGGTAAGAGGGTGGTTGTTTTTAGTGGGGGGGGGTGGCGGGGTGGGAAAATTTTTTGGAAGGAACGGGTGTTGGGCTTTTATTTTTTTTAAACGTTTTTGGCTTTAAAGTTAAATCAAAAAAAAAACCCCCCTTTGGGAATACGGTAAAACCCCAGTGAAAGGGGGGGTGTGGGAAAAAGTCCCCCCAGGGATGGGGAAAAAAATGGGGGGGATCCGGGGGTTATCATTTTGCCCTATTTTTGTGGTGGTGGTGGGGGGGGCCCCATTTTTCCGGGGGAATTTCCGTTTAAAGAATGGGGGGGGAACCTTTTTTTCCCGGAAAATTTTTCGTTTTCCCTAAATCCCCCCAGGGGGAAAATTTCTTTTCCCCGAAAGCCAATTGGATTTATTTTTTTTAAAAGGGGTTTTCCCCCCCTTAGGGATTTTTTGGGGGGGAGACCAAAAAAAGGGGGGGGGCGGGGCCCCCCCCCCCCCCCCCCTTATCTTTTTTTTGGGGGTCCCATTGAGGTTCGGCCAACACGCCTCCGCCGGGCCGCCTCGTCCCCGCCTCCCACACAAATACCGCACGACCCTCCGTGTCCCAAAACCGCGTCAGATCTCATCGCAGCAACAGCAGGCGATCGACTTTGCACTGCTGTGTCATCATACTTGGTACTTGCACTTTTGTCGTTGTCGTTGCACGAAATATGCAATGTGTGTTGCGCTACGTCGTGCTCTACCTTTCTAGAACAACACGCGATCGGTTTTTGCGCTCACATCATGTGTCGACATGATCCCTCGGCGCAAATGTACCAAATCATTTGCGTTGCGAGCAGTTTGCTTCCTTCAGGAACGAAACTCGCTGGGGTTTGCATCACGTGGTGGCATCATTGGTTCAGTGGTAGAATGCGTGATTGCCATTCACGCGACCCGTGTTCGATTCACGGATGATGCATATTTTTTTTACGTTTTTTTTTCGTTGTGGCTCAGAGTACAACCAACAATCGACCACTTGTGCATGACGATATAATATACCTTGAACCGTCCCGGCAAATAACCTATCGACGATCTACCCTGGTGCGGCGCAGGCCTCGCGTGTCAGGGCGCCGGGCGCCGAGAGAGCGCGGAGCACTACTTCCGCCTGAGCCTGGAGCTAGACCCACTCCTGTGGGTCAACATCCAGTCTCTCTGCGAGCTCGGGGTGGAACTGGACGTCGACAAGCACTTCGAAGAGGCGTTTTTCAAGGGGGGGGCTGCTGCCACCGCTGCTACTGCTGGGAAAGGACCTGCGGCTGCGGCGGCGAAGGGGGGAAGCCATCGACAGACGGGGGGCCCCGCGGCTGCGGCGGCGGTAGGGGGGGGCGGGGGGGAGGGAGGGCGGCAGCGACTGCCCCCGTGGGCGCCGTACCTGGCGCTCTGCGGCGGCAACCGGGGGGGGGCGAGCTGCCCCCAGGGCGAAAAAACTGGTGAGCGTGAGTTTTGGTTGCGTTTTGGTGATCTACAGTACTACAACGACTTATGCATGCGTTCAACTCCGGACGTATTTGTTTTCAGTCAAGTTCGTTTGAGATTGCGTTTTGTGGGTGCAATTGTTGAGTCTGGCGTAATATGTGCGCAAGTGTCTGTGGCTGGGCCACGCCAACGGACAAGCGGATAATGCAAGTGTGCACCTCTCTTGTGTGTCGGTTGTAGTGATCCCTTAACAGGGTCGTACGATTTGGCCGACCTTTTCCAGAGCGACCCCCCCCCCCCCCCCCCCCTGTGGCGTGTG